CATTCACAGTCAAACATGAAGATCTGCAGGAACAAACAGGTTGGTTTCATTCTCAAACACCAACTCAGTCATATAGAGGTAAAGTTGGTTTTATATTCGCACATTCATTACGCTTTTATGACCATTTCCACTGTTAAAAGGCGTACCGACCCAAACCGTACCGTACCATGTTTGAAATACACAGCGAGAGATTACAGCGGAATTATAAATACATATGCAGCCATGGTCGATCCGGGCTCAAACAAACCCTGTCGTCGTTTTGATAAACAGCCACAAAGCCATGGAGAAGAGCAGATTTACCCTGTGCCGCGTAGTTTTTTACGAGCCAGTCTGAAGCCAGAGTGGTTTCGCTTTCTTCCTTGTGCTCGCCGCGCGTTTCTATCTGAAATAACAAACTTCTTGAGCTGATAATAATATACGCGCTTGATAATTGACAAGCTTTGGAAACCCGATCCTGTGAGAAGCTGACAAACGCGGGACACATTCTGTGACACATTCAGAAAGAAAAGGACAAACGCGGGAGTGGAGCGCGGAAAAAAGGTGAAGCCAAGGAGCACGTTATTTCTTCAGCAAATGTGAACAGACTGCCTTGTCTTAATCTTTATTATCACCTTTTGGACTAATATGAACTGGGAATGATGGAATGACTGTTTTTCACTGACTGTAGGCTATACTTTTTGTTGTTTTGAACCTAATTAATGACGAAATGTCTGCTTTGTGTAGTTCTTCTGTAGTTGGTAACATATTGGAGACTGTAAGCATCTGTATGTCTTCCTATATGTTAATTTATTTATTTATTTAATATAATTACAGACGTTATAGTAGGCTATTTCGCACTGTCATTGATATGCAGATCTGTGAGATCAGTAGATCTGCAACTAATGTTCATAGAAAAGTTTGTAATAAACATTTATACACAAGTATTTATGTGTGTAAAGCATCTGTTTTATGAGAAGTGCTGCTCATATGATATGTGAACGACCTGTACAGCTTTATTGTAGACATTTTCTCGAGCGAAAATGACGTCGACTGAAACTTTGTCATACACCACACCCACTAAAAGGGTACCCTTGGTAGTGGAAATGCAAGCCTGATAAAGGTGACCCGTACCGACCCGAACCGTACCGTACTGTACCAGTCAGTGGAAACAAGCCATTAGGTCCAGGGTCAAAACCAAATATTTAAACACTGTAAATTACTAGATATACTCTATTCTTTCAAATTCCTTATGGGCATCTAAAGTAATCAAGTCCTCTGGATTGGTATTATTTTTAGGTAAATAAATAATATTAAATAAGCAACAAAGGTTGTAAGATAACTGTCTCCCAACAATAAAACCAGTTTGATCTGGGTGAATTATCTTTCTCATGACTGACTCCACTCTGATTGCCAGCACTTTTGGCAGGATTTTATACAGCAGAGTGAGCTGATCGGATGATAAGATTCACATTTAAGTGGATCCTTACCCTTTTGAAGAAGTACTGTTATAACAGCCGATGTCATGAATGGGGGGGAGTGAATCAGAGACAAGAGCTTTTGCCAATACCTTCCACAACAGGGGTGTTAACTTGGCACAAAACTTCTTATAAAAATCAGCCTGGAAGCCATCAGGGCCTGGTGCTTTTATGATTTTTATGTATTTTTTATTGTATTTTCAATTTCAGAAGGTGTTAAAATTCCTTCTTTTGTCAACTGATCTAAATCACAGAGGGATGGTAATTCTTAATAATTAAAAAAGCTCTCAATGCGTTCAATTTCCTTTACCTTAGAGCTGTAAATAGTTTTATAGAAGTTTTTAAATTGATCACTAATACCCTGTTTATCAGTAATAATACTGCCATCATCCTTACTAACTGCTACTATAACGCCAGCTGCTGAGGATTGTTTCAGTTGGTAACACAATAACCTGCCAGCTCATTCACCATGTTCATTATGAATCTGGCGTGATCTTATGTGGAGATCCTCAAGGAGTCATTCCGCTTGCAGAATAAGTATTTTCTTATGAAGCTCTTCGGAAGATGATGTTGAGTGTAGCTGATCAATTGTATTTTTTTTTTAGATGCCATTGTCCATTGCCGATGGCCGACAAACTTCACGATGCTGAGCCGGCATCACGATCCATCGCCCCGCCCCACATTTATATTGATATATAACTTATTATTTGCATTTCATCTTAATAGCAATAACAGTCTTTTTATGAGCTGTGTTAAATGTTACTTATAGCTGCTGCTTGCAAGGCTGACAGCATCGTGAGGATTAAATGAAGGATTATACATTACCTCTCGCGCTTAAATGTGTAGATTCAGTGCCAAACACGGTTACCAGCGGACTTAAAGCCACTAGAAGTCTTTTATCCACTCTTGTTAAAGTGTAAATGGTGGATTAACATTCAGCACATGATCACTAATAAGATGAGCCATTATTAATAACTTAAGGTAAACCTGTATGTTATTTTCATTCTCTCATCTTCAGTGCTTCACATTTTCGCAGTTGTAGCTCCTATCATCTGAAGGCAGAAGGCATTGACTGAGTGATTGACAGCTGATATTAACCAATCATTTGCATTCAGTTGTAGAGCAGTGAGCCAATAAATAGAGCACAGAGGCGGGGCGAGCATTGCAGGCTTTTTTACTTCAAGTTCACATAACAACTGTTTTAATCTGTTCCTGGTGCTGCGTTTGGCGTTTTTAGGTGCAAATATGCATTCTGCATAAATGTCTCCTAAATCTGCGCACGCGGTGAGGATTTTACAGTAAAAACAAATGTATGCACTTGTTGTAAAAAAATAATAAATGAGTGAAAAGAGAAGAGAACCCAGTCCAGGAGACTCGAAACAAGCAGAATTCCTTTATTGAGACGTGTTGGTTAATCTGCAGTCATACAGCGTCTTTAAGATGTCCATGTGTCTGCAAGAGCCTACTAGAGGTCTGCAGTCTGCAAGTTCTTTCACGAGTCTCTCACAAGTCTCACACAAGTCTGATTTAAGACAAAGATTTCATGTCTATATTGTGTTCTTAGGAGGAGGGGATATGGCTAAACAAAGCATGCAAATTAAGAGTTGGAGTCAGCCTGGCATAGGTGTTAAAAAACGGCCCAGCTACTGACCACACAAGTTAATCAACATAGGGTTTCTGTAGCATAAAAGCAACACCCGAAGACAGAGACAGAGTCGTTTAAAGCATTTGCATCACTGGCTTAGCCTGTAGTCAGAGAGATAAAGGTTAAATGTCCCTCCTAGCTGGGATGTTAATGAAATTATATAATTAAAAACCAAAGAATATAACTTTTTAGTTATACGTAGATTATTGTTCATTTGGAATTAGTTGATAGAAATTTATATTTCCACACACTACAGTGAACTCCAACCGTACTCTCGTCTCCTCCACCAGCTGTAGGAAAAGCCATTCACTCTTTTTTTAACTAGTGACATAAGTAATTTCTTTCTCATTTGTGTTTAAAGGTCTTTAGATTTTGGCATGATGTCTAGCTTTTGAAGCTCTTTTGGTCTACTTCACTTTGTCAGACAGGTCCTATTTAGGTGATTTCTTGATTGCGAACGTGTGGTAGTAATCAGGGGCCTCATGTATCAACGCTGCGTACGCACAAAAACTTTGCGTACGCCAGGTTTCACGCTCAGAATGGCTCACGTTTGGATTTACTAACAATGAACTGAACGTGGGAATGTGCGCAGCTTCACGGCAGCTTTCTGGCAGGCGTACGCACATTTTTTGTGCGTGTCTGTTTTATTTCCATTGGCGACTCCTAGAGGCAGTTGTGTTAAATTCCTCTCTACAAAGTGTCTGAGCCTTGCAATGGCAGCTGTATGAGACGGGTTCAGCAGGTATATAAGGTTTCCATACCATACATTTGACCAGCTAAACATTAAAGCACAATTTGCAGCAGTCGCCTGTTTTCCCAATGTAATCTGAGCGATCTACCGCACGCACATTGCTATAAAGACACTATCTGAAGATGAATTTGCATGCGTGAATCAGAAACATTTCCATTCAATAAATGTGCAAATAAAATATGATGCTTATTGATATGAACTTATTGATGATTCCTACTTGTCTTTCTCGTGATAAATAGTTGGCAAAATCTGATATGTAGCGGGGGAAAAAACAAGAAAGAGTTCATCAAACGCTGGATTCGAGCCGAGATCATGCTCGAACGTATCAATTCGTTCGCCATTGAAACTGTTAAGCGTCCTGCAACATTTTACAGATATAAACCACACTATTTCTTTTTTTAATGCACTCAGTGCGATGTTCAAACCCAACTGTGTTGACCGCATCAGCTAAACTCTCCCACTCTATTTTTTTCTTTTGTTGTTAATTCTGGAGAACAAACTTGCAAGTAACACCGCTTTTCTCCTGTCTACCTCCGAAAGCAGCACCTTCAATTCACATTCTGTTCAAAGTTTCTCTTTTTGCTTGATTTTGCCATTGCTTTTTCGTTGGGTTTTGCCATTAGCATAGTCATTAGCATATTCATACGGGGGAGGAGGCGGGGAGGGGTTTTGTGCTCGTGCATGTTGCGCTCAGTTTCACGTTCATTCAGATGTACAAAAGAATATGCGTGAGATTCGGCGTACGCAGTGTTTCATACATCTGAATTTTTTTCTGCGTACGCACATTTACAGCTTTGTGCGTACGCAATGTTTTAGTAAGATTTCCACGCAAGTCTTCGTACATGAGGCCCCAGGTCTGGGTGTGGCTAGAGAACTTGAAGTTGGTGTGATAAATTAAAGTTGTTCTAATGGGAATTTTTTAAAGTGCCTTTTCACTGAGAGTTTTAATGATTTACTAAAAAGTGAACTTATTTTTATTTCAGACCTAATTAAAGACTACGATGAGAGTAAAGAGGAGGAACATCATGTCAAAATTGAGGACAAAACTCATTTAGAGACTGATGGTATTTTAAAAGTGAGAGACAAGAGTTGTTTTACCTGCACTCAGTGTGGAAAGAGTTTGGCAAGCAAAAGCAAACTAAAGACTCACATGAGGATCCACACTGGAGAGAAACCATTCACATGCTATCAATATGGGAAGAGTTTCAGCAAATCATCACTTTATAGACACAAGAAGATCCACACCGGTAAAAAAACATTCACTTGCACTCAGTGTGGGAAGAGTTTTAACTGCTCATCACACCTTAATCAACACATCAGGATCCACACTGGAGAGAAACCATTCAGATGCACTCAGTGTGGGAAGAGTTTTAACTGCTCATCACACCTTAATGAACACATGATGATCCACACTGGAGAGAAACCATTCACATGCACTCAGTGTGGGAAGAGTTTTAGCAAATCATCGTCGCTTTATAGACACATGAAGATCCACACTGGAGAGAAACCATTCACTTGCACTGAGTGTAGGAAGAGTTTCAGCCAATCATCATCCCTTAATGTACACATGAGGATCCACACTGGAGAGAAACCATTCACATGCACTGAGTGTGGGAACAGTTTCAGTAAATCATCATCGCTTTATACACACATAAAGATCCACACCGGAGAAAAACCATTCACTTGCACTGAGTGTGGGAAGAGTTTCATCCAATCATCATGCCTTAATGTACACATGAGGATCCACACTGGAGAGAAACCTTTCACATGCACTCAGTGTGGGAAGAGTTTCATCCACTCATCACACCTTAATCAACACCTTATGATTCACACTGGAGAGAAACCATTCAAATGCACTCAGTGTGGGAAGAGTTTTAGCCAATCATACCTTAAAAAACACATGAAGATTCACACTGGTGTGAGAGAGTATATGTGCTTGGAGTGTAAGAAGACTTTTATTACAGCTGCAGAATTGAAACGGCACCAGAGGATTCACACTGGAGAAAAACCGTACAAGTGTTCACACTGCAGTAAGAGGTTTACTCACTCAGGAACCCTGAAAACACATGAGAGGATTCACACTGGAGAGAAACTGTACAAGTGTTCACACTGCAGTAAGAGGTTTGCTCACTCAGGAACCCTGAAAGCACATCAGAGGATTCACACTGGAGATAAACTGTAGACGTGATCAGTGTGTATTAGGGTTGGTTACCGAAACCCGGTGCCATTTTAGCACCGCTACCTTGGTAACTGGTATGTATCGGTATTAAATCAGCATATGAATTTCGGTGCTTAATTTCGGTGCTGCAACATGAACGTGGGGGGTGCATGAAAAAAGGCACATATAGGCGTTGTGTCACAGCATCACTAAACATTTAATTCTAAACAACTTTGAGGAATACGGACAAGCGATATCCAGCAATTGTTATTGTCGCTAGGGAACAGACGCACGCAACGCACGCAGTACAGCGCATTTAGCCTGGAACCAGTGGTTTTCGGTGAGCGAGAGCGACACTCTTCAGATCAACATGCGTGATCACGTTCATCCAATTTGCTTAAACTAAGCATTCTAAAGCGTATTTTACAAGCAAGGATTCTTACACAGCAACTGTCTTCACAAAAGTGCGTGTAACGTTAAGGGGGTAACATGTCAAACTTAATCACACATGTAGAACAGATGTAACACATTGATCAAATGTAGTTTTCAGTCACGCTCATGTAAGTCATATTCAACTCGTTTAGTTTTGACTTTATTCATTTTTGATTTCCGTCTTGAACACATGATTTATTTACAACACATTTTTAAATATAATAGTTTAACTAACTCTTCTAATATCTAACGTTACTTTTTATGCTGACAGTGCAGAACATTTTACTAGTAATTTTGCAAGACAGTATTCAGACAAAGTCCCTTTAAGTGTTTTATAGTCTTTTATTCAGATTGAAGTGTAATTTAGACTTAAAGGGGTGGTCCACTATGATCTCATATTTTAAACTTTAGTTGATGTGTAATGTAGCTGTGCGAACATAAACAGCATCTCTGAATGTAAAATGCTCAAAGTTCAATGCAAAGGGAGACCTTGATTTTTAGAGTTAGCTTAGCAAAGCCTACAATGAACGAATTTTGGGGACTACAAAAATACTTCCAAAAAATACTGTGAGATCACAAAAGTTCGTTATTGCGCGTCCCATACTGCACAGGTAATGGCCATTGCCAGCGGCGCTGTAACGTTACTGCATTGCAGAGGGAGAAATGCCATCCTGCTGTTTGCACAGAGCTTCTCTGTTTCTGTTGTTGGGCTTCCAAATGACACGACCCAAACACAGAAGTGCTTACAGTTCAATATTAATAATGTTCCAGAGAACTATAAAATACACAGCAAGCATGATTTGACAAAACGCAGCTTACTGAATCTCTCCCAGTTCAGTGCTGGATTCGGCTAAAATCTCCTCAAAGATGGAGCAAGGAGACGCTGTGAACTCTGAGTCATGACCTGTAAGTGTTTTTATTTGTTAAAATTGATCATGACATGTACAGCGTCTAGCCTTAACGGTGTGATGTAGCATAAATGTAAATAACGGGAAATTATATTCATCACTAACGACTTAGCTACAAATCCATACTTATCAGTCAAACGGCTGTAAACACACACACATACACAAACATACATACACGCACTCTTGGCCAGCATGCGCGTCTCTGTGTAAGATGGCAGTGTGTCTCTTATGTGTGTGCACGATTGCACTGATTGTCTTCAGGCAGCTTTTCCATGCGTTCAACTCAAGACAATAAAGTCGCAAAAGATATGTGAACGAATCATGTTACTTACACAGGCATATTCCGGATATGCGTGAAAGACGTCCTGTTACGCATTGATTAAAAAAAATAAAAAATACAGCAATGCTCTCCCAACTGGAGTGTAACAGCAAAAACAAATCAATCCAGGCTCACACGGGTCTCATCTCACATCTTGTGATTTAATCTGTCACCACAGAAAATAACTTAATCCGAGCATGAGAGAAAAAGAACAATAAATATCCCGCGCACATGCACTTCTCATGTTACAGACACTTCATAGTATATACACGCACACACATAAACACACTAAATGGCACAGAAACACTTTTAAAGGAGCCGCATCCCATTTTCACTCGTTACGGACACGTGTTAACTGACTGACTGTTTACACACAATGCGCGTGCTTCTCCAGGCGTGACGTGGAGCCGATCGGCGAATCACAGCACATTATGATGATGACCAATCAGAGTCACTTGAGGGTGGGCCTTTTAGAGGAACTAGGCAATATGACAGTCGTTTTCCTGTTAGCTGAGTAGCTGTGTATAATCAAAGTGAGATATATGAAAAAATAACATGATTTCCTTCAAGTGAAACATGAGCGCACATTGCTTTGCATCTTATTAACACAACCAAGCCTTAAAATTACATTCTGGACCACCCCTTTAATCAGTTCACTACGAAAGTTAAAATAATTAGTCAAATTATTTTGTAACTGATTTGTTGTGTAAATCAAAAATGTACAGTAAATATTTCTTAAGGAGGCTAATATTACTGACCTTATTATTATTTTTTTTAAATTAAAAACGGCTTTTATTCATGAAATAAACAATAAGAAATAGGACTTATTATGACTCCAGAATAATTATGTTTTAGGAAACACTGTAAAAGTTTTCAGAAACATTATTTTAAATGAATGGGAGAGCAAAATAAAACGACTTCAACTGTAGGCCTGTTAAAGTTTACAGGTGCAGCAATGTGCCTTGATGTACTTGAATGTTAGAAATGTGTTCTCCTTCATCAGTACAACGTTACTTGTCAAATAAATGAACAAGGAAGATTATTTTGAGTTTAAGTTATTTAATTATCTTGTTTATGAAGACTGCAGAGTGATGCATGAAAAAATGTTTTAAGTATTTTGTGATCTATTTGTTAAAATGTGCTCCTAAAAGTACGTGGCCCCTGCCCGTCCCCCACAGGTTAAAAGTAAGCTAATGTAATTTCATAATGCAAATCTTAAATTCATGCTAACCAACAAATGATCAAAAGAAATGTATTAATGTAATACAATATGAATTGATGTTTACATTAAACTGTAATTATGTTGTTCTATTAAAATTATAAAAAAAAAAAATTGTCAAATAAAATTTTTTTGAAGAGTCGTCCACCATAATTTTGTGGCTAAAAAAAAAGTATCGATTCAGGCACCGTTTTGGCACCGGTATTGTTTTAAAAGTATCGATTTAGCACCGGTATCGAGAAAAAAAAAAAAAAAACGATACCCAACCCTAGTGTGTACAGAGTTTCACTCATTCGGGGCAGCTTGAGAAACACATGGGATGGTTTCCAGTATGGTGTCGACACATGTAGCAGCATAGAAAGAGTGCTCCCATACACACTGGTATTAATCCTCCTTTTTACATCATATATGATAACCTAAACCATATTTAAATAACAATAATTATATAGGCCCTATTATATAGGTAAATAATGTCTTACATTTTACATTGAATTCCGTCCAAAATAGATTGACTTTTTTCTCTTTGCTAAAATAAATTATTATTGTATTTGACTGTAACTATCTTTTTTTAATTAGGCTAACTGCCTTATTCTCTTCAAAGAGCAGCTCTCATACAGAGACCATTATTTCAGTGTTTTTCCAGGATGTTGTGGATATTTGTGGATTCCTTCTTTTTTGTCTCGGCTGATCACATGGAAAAAGGAAAATGACTTTTCCCGGTCATTTTTCTTTTTTTCCCTCATTTTTTTAGCTATCATGTCATTTTCAGTTGAAGGGGAAAAAGTGTTGCACTTATCTGAAAAAGCTTCATATGTTTTAAATAATGAAGTGTATTTTTTTTTCTTTTAAAGTATTACACATTTTTAAATGAAATTGTTGGAATGATTTGTTAAATAAATGCCAAACACAGTGTCTAAGTTATTTTATTACTTTTATTTAATAAAAATTAGTTTAAAAAGCATAATATGAATGCACTGAAACAGAACTTTGTGACTCTGGGTCATTTCTGCAACATTTTAATAAGAATGTGAAATAACAGCACAGTAGAAGACGGTATATATAATAGTAATATCAAGTAATAACAACACTAAAGAAAATAAACAACTTCCAGTACATACAAGTGCAACCAAATGAACAAAATCTGAACATTAATCAAACAACATAGAGAAACATAGGTAATGAAGAATTGACATGCCAGGTTAATTCTCAGCATTGAGGTGCATGTCTGCTGACCTTAAAAGCCTTGGTAATCTGAAACAAAAAGAAGACGACAACCAGAAAGTGCACAATAATTTGGTTGAAACTTAAAGATGGGTGTAAGGGAGGGTTAAGCGCAGTTTGAGCGTACTTACCAGGCTGTAATTTCACGTGTGTTGTACAGAATCCAGAGAGAGAGGAGAGAATATGGAGTAGCCTGAAGATGAATGGTTTGTAAGGCCCACTCATTCAACCTATTACAACCAAGTCTCTATTTGGAGAGCAATGTTGTTGCTTGGCAGCGCAGAAAGAGTACTCCAGGGTGAGAAGAGCAGTGATGGTTGTCCAGAGAGAGAGAAGAGAATATGGCCAAGGGTGGAAACTTGGAGATGGACATGTTAGAAGTGAGTCAGTATGGGCGATGGAAAGATGTTGTTTTACATCCAGTCCAATTCCAACCCTTTCCCGGCAAAAGATCTCCTCTTTGAGCCATAATCATAGAGTAACTCCTCATCACTCGAAATGTCTTTTGTAGCAATGAAGAGAATGATGTCTCTATCATTAAGGACATACAGCCTGGGCCGGATATTGGCTCTTTTGCTGGAGTGACGGATCAGGCGTCCATAATTGAACTTCATGGGATGGCACTGGCAACTTTCTTCATGTGCGTCAATGCACATGGCTTCATGTTGCTTGTTCCTATAAAAAAACAAATGGCCAGCTCTGATGCTGCTTGTCGAAGCTATTGCCATCCCATCTTCATGGCTAACCAGCTCGCCGTGGTATTCACAGACAACCTCCCCGATCTGAAATGGTCTTTTGGTGAAAACACCATCGCCCTTGTCAGGGACGGGCCTGACAGTCAGTCCTTTCCAGCGTTGAGACAAAATCATTTTTTTCACAAAGCTGCTGTCGATGACCAAGTCCAACCTGGCAACAGGCTTCCACTGCTTCAGAACCACTGCAGCCTGTGGGACGTTTGACGTCCACCCTTGTTTGTCCATCCAGCGGCTTATTTTGGACTCTGATGGCTGCTGTCCAGTAAAGTGTTCTAGAAACACAAAGCACATCAGTATTCGGCTATTCTCACTCAATTCCCCTGTTTGTGTTATTAATCATCTGTATACTCACCGAGAGCATGCTGTTCACGCAGCTTGAGCTGCTCGCTACGCCAGCGGTCATAGCAGTGCCTCTCATGTTCTGAGCCACACAGCTCAGTCCTGCGTGACCTTTTTGGAGGAGGCCCCTCCAGAGTCACTGGACAGAACTGCTCAAGAGTTTTGTAGGCCGTCTGTTCGTCCACCCTTGTCTCACAGCAGGAAGCTCTACTGGACCTTTGTCTATAAGATCATAAAAAATAAATATTGAAGGAAGGAAAGGCAAGGCTGTGGGTTGCAAATTTAAAAATAAGGATCATCCCAGTTGTTAGATGCTTACGGTGTTTTCCCAGCAAGCTGATCTAGCACACTTAGAGCCAGAAACGGATCTGAAGACGTTCTCCTCATGTAGTTCCTTTCAGCTGCCACATTTCTCTCCACTTCTGACAGGTTTTGTGCTGCTGCCTCAAATGCTCTCTGGGCATCGCCACACGTCACACTGGGAAGACTGTATCTGAAACACAAGGCATCGTAAGAAGGCAAAAAGTGGACGGATGAACATGTAGAGTTAAAGACAGGTGTAATGTTGCTTACTTGTCATGTAGTCTTTTTAAGTCGTTGGAGGGATTATAAATCGATCTCCCACTACTTGACACAAAAAATGAATCAACTGCCACATCATCGCCGGTGCGGTTTTCTTGCAGCATTACTGGCCGCACCTCATTGAAGTACAAGTCGAACCACTAGTTAAAGAAAGGAAAAAAATAAGTCTAAATTTGACACAATACATTTATTGCTGTTATTATATAAAAGACTATATAAACTTACAAGTTCCTGTTCGTGTGACAACGGTACTTTGTGCTCCTTCACTGCAACACAGACACCATTCTCTATCCGGCTTCTCCCCTCCCAATCCTCAACCTGCAAACAGACAGTTTTGCACATTGATGAAGCATATAAGAACAAAGAAGACAATGTACGGAAAAACAAACACTTACAGTCATGTGTGTCACAATTCCAGGCCGCTGGACTAGCTTCAGCATGATAACAGCCTCCAGGTAGTACAGGACGAGCAGCCGTTCATTTTTAGTCAAACAGTCCCCTGTGATGGCTCCTGGACCCTGCATTTTGCATATCACGGCCTGGAAATCTTTGAATGCAGCCTCCAAAACAGCAAGGCAGTCCTTTGGCAAAACTTCTTTGCCACAACCAAACTCTGATTTTTTTGCTGTGACCTCCATGCTCACTTCTTTGGACATGCCACTCTGTATTCCATACAGCGCATCCATAAAACTCTCACAGTCCTGGAACAAAGCTGGATTGTTGTGGCGAATGTCCGTGGAGGTAATAATGTATTTCATGAACCTTGAAAAGAGATCAACATTGGGTTTGTTACAGTCAGAACACAGCACAGCTGACATGATTAGTTAACATGTACATGGCACACTTGTGGTGGTTCCACATTACTGACCTCTTGAGACTCTTCGAGTAGTTGAATACTGTCCATTTTGAGAGCTTTGTATCTGACAAGATGTTAAAGTACTCTCGCACTTTCTCCACCCGCCGAACAAACATCAAGTTTGGCTCAGTGGGGTCCATGTAATGCAAGAACCTGGACACTGTTTCCACCTGAAAGCACACATTTCACATTAAAATAAACTGTACTGCATAAAACAACACCCACTCACTCATTTTTACATATATAATTTCACTTGAACTTACTACTTGTTTGCTGTTTTTATATCCTAGATCAGTGTAAAGGTACTTATTAAATCCTGCTAGAAGGGGGTGGTCAATGGAGTGCTTGTTGTATAAGCCTTTTTTGACCATCTCCACCCTCACGGAAGAGGTCCACATCGGTCCACCAGTGCTGAAATAGAAAAGCAGGTGATCAAAATGACTTTGTATATTAAAGAGAAGTCATATCCGCAGTGTATATTTACTTTCTGGGAATGCTGATATAAAAGTATACCTCTGATAGTACTCTCCCGAGCTCTCGTCGGATAAGGACTCATTTGGAGGCTCCAATGAACTTTCTGCACCTTCTCCAGAGCTTTGAGGCACAGAAGATGTTGTCGACCGAGCTGGTTCCGGGAGGACTGAAGGTAAGTTATTAATCACCAACCCCTTTGACTGCATCTCCGCAATCATCCTAAAACAAGGAACATAAAATAAGGTCAAATAAACAATACCAAAAATGTATGTTTATTATTATATGCAGATGTTAGATTTGAAGTCCGATACATAAAATAAGATAAGCACAACTGAATACAAACCTGGCCAGAGGATTAGTAGAGTCCAATATGTCACAAATTTTTCCAAACTCCCAGAAACGTCCTTTGTGACAGAATTCAGACAACTCCTTCTTGGCCTCTTTAACGACAGCCTGGATCTCTGCTTCTGTGCTGTTCCTCATACACACCTTCCTGAGATGCCCAGGAAGAGAGTGAGGAGCCTTTTTGCACACAGGACAGAGGAAAAACATCCTGCTGTGGAAGGATCTGTGTGGATAATAAAATCAAAATGTTATACAATGAAGAGACCAAGAGCAGTTTTGGTAAGGTTTGGGGTCCACCACACCCCACCCCCAACTCCAGGTAAAGAAACAAAGAAATGAGCACACAAACACACACAGCAATGTCTGCCGGATATTTTGATTAGAGTTTTAAGACAAAACTTAATTTCATATTAATATAATACTGTTACTAACCATATTATTTTAAACCTATTTAATAATATGACATTTATTATGAGAGAAGAATTAAATTGTCTCAATTATTTCTTAAACCAAGATCATACCAGCAGTTAGGATTTACAAGTCAAATATAAAATAACAACACAACTAGTGTACAAACTGCTCTCCTCTCACAAATATCTGTCCTCTTCAGAGGTTTTCTAAACTTCTAAATTTAAAAGGTTTTTTTTAATTATCTAGAAGAACTAAGTTCTAGAAGACTCTTTAGATTTTTAAAGATTTGACTTCCACAAACCTAACTAACTCCACTGATAAAATGATACAAGCTAAACTGAGTTTAAGAAGCCTGCTGCATAAGGCGTACTGACTAAATGTACTTACTGTTTAGAGGCCATTTCTGATTTTGAAATGTGAGTTCTGTCCACTGGTCAAACGCAGCAAGCTGTAGTTGAAAGTGATACGACTGTAATTTTACTAAGATGAGATGGGCCTTTTTAACCTGAGCTGGCAGCAGGTCAACAGCCTATCAGGAGACAGCATCCAACAGCAGCCCAATCTGCCCATCCCCAGGTGTTAATGGCCCAATAGGAGCAGCAACAACTTTAAAACAGTTACTACAACTGATCTAGGCATATGTTTCGGTGTATTTAAAAATATAGAGTCTTTTTTCTGACTTTGAGTACTTTTATATTTCACAACACAGATGCAGGAAAATATATTGTCCTAAAGTTCGAAACAGTACACATGCAAGGAAAATCTATTTAAAAATACACAATTCATGTGAAAACATACATATAAAACAGAAAACAACAACAAAACATAAAATACAGTACAAGGATAAAATAAATCAAGTTAAATGAAAGTCAGCTGTTTAATATCCATTCAAAGATAAAAGCTAAAATAATTATATATTTAATTTTCAGTAATAATGATTAATAGGGTTTTGTGTGTGTGTGATTTTAAATAAGTTAACAATTAAGTAAAAAAATTGAACAGTAAAACTGATTAACCATTTGCTTTGTAAGATTGTGTTGTTAAAGCCTCCTGAGAGAGCATGAAGAAGATATGAACAGTTTTACAGTGAATAGCGATTTCTGATGAAGTATATAATTATAAGAGTTTGTGTTAGGCTGTTGAATTTCACCAAATAAAAATAAAGAGAGAGAGAGACTTGTAACACATTTTAGAGCAGATTTATACTTTGTTTGGTGATGGATACAATGAATAAAATAGAATATAATTGTATTTTCTGATTAATGTCTGCTCTAGGATTGAGTAACACATATCCTTTCTTATGTCTTTATGATTATTAATAAAGTTAAATGTTTAAGAGCCTTGATTATATGATGACTATGATGTCCTCCCTCTTTAGAGTAAATCTGGAGTAATGTGTGCGTGATTGTTTTTCTGTATGTCGAATCATTTGTTTCCTCAGGATCTACCCAGCCAGGTCAGAGGTCATGGAGACCTCTCGAGTGTACCTGGAAGAATAGGAAACAACTCTTTGCTGAGTTATTTGCCACTTCAATTTAAATCTTTTAAAATTAATTGCTTTGTATGTAAGCTGCCAGTTTGGATGTTAAATGTATTTTTAATATATATTATTCCTATATTGTTACATATATGTAAGAACAAAATATATTGTTAATAATATACATATATACTGTACATACACATTTTATTGAAACATATTTTTTCTCACATGAAAACTGACCTAAACTCTCAATAGTTGGCCGGTGTGGGTGTTAACGTTACTAATTTGCTAATGTTGCTGGGTGATGGAGGTATGAACAGTCTTGTTAGCAACTTGTTGTTCTTACATGAATGCTGATCTGAACTCTTAATGGCTGGAGTGAGTGTTAACGTCTCTAATTTGCTTATGTTTTGCTGTGGATATATGAATGGTCATGTTAGAAAGTCATTGTTCTAAATCATAATGTTGGTGCATTGGTGGTAATAGTCAAATGAAAGCTTTCCCGAATTACTGCCAGAATTTTATAAAAAAAACAAAAAAAAAACAAAACTGTTTTGTGTTGTTGACCTGTTGGTCGAGGCTAATACAATTACTCCTGTGTTTTCCATTGTACACATAGACCGGTATAAGATTCTGGTATGATAACCTTGGATAAAAAAAATCAGTATCTCAATATTGTGATTACTGCTCTAAAATATATATTTTTAAATGTATAAAAACAAAACCTTTTCCCTTTTGAGTACGATATATTTTATTTTGAGAAACATTTAAAAGTTTTTTGGAATAGTAAAGATGGTAATAGTAAAGAATGAAAATTAATCATTGACTTCTGCTGTTTTTATTAGCTTCAAAACTTCTTTACATTTTAAAATGGCATCTTTGTATATCTTTTGTGCTGGAGATACTGTTGTCCTAAAAAAAAAAAAAAAAAAAAAAACGTTATTAAAAACAAACAAACAAAAAAAAAAAACTTTACATACACCGTAGGAACGATACAGCAGAAACCTTTGGCAGTTTTAAAACCTTGACTTTTCCAAACTGCGGTATACATTGAAAATGGTTATTGTCCTTTGTCTATTTCATTGTATTGAAACATTACACAAATGTTGTGTGTGTGTGTGTGTGCGCATAACTATGTAAACCAAACTTTAACACATACACATACACACACTTTAATTTCTAATCTATTGTGTGTGTGTGTGTGTGTGTGTGTGTGTATATATATATATATATATATATATATATATATATATATATATATATATATATATATATATATATATATATAAATCAATAGATTAGAACAGAGAATGTGTGTATGTGTTAGGGTTAGGTTTACATGGTTATGCAAATAAGTTTAGTCATTTACTGAATTTAGCATTTTTTAGAATAACGCCACATAATTATTTTGTTAATTTACCATTTTAAATTACTGTGTCGTAGTCTTAGAATATCAAAAATGCATTGGAGAATACTTGAGGTATGACTGAATCAAGGCAAGTGGTAATATGTGTGGCACATAATAAATGGACTTGAGTTTCTGTGTTGTCCGAGCGCCATCTGCTGGTTGATATCGGTAGCGGAAAGTGTTGCTTTCAGTTTCACTTTCATTTGGAAATAAACAGCGTTAAAAGGTTGTGCTAATAGTTTAGATATTTCCATCAAGGATAATACCCTGTAAGCACCATTTTTTGTAAACTGATTTGATAAATGTAACGATTTTTTTCTGTTAAAGAATAGTTTTGTTTTGTATAACTGCTCATTCATGATGGCTGATTTCATCAGGAGAACATTATTATGTGATAAAACACACTGTTCAAAATTTAAATGAGAGAGTCAAAGAGATTTATTTCATTTTCAAGACAAAAAAGACAGATCTTCAAACTGCATCTGTGGTTCTTTAAGCTTTTATGTTGCTGACTGAACAGTCAGGCAGCCAGTGTTAGTGAGGCCAGTACAAACTGTTTTCTTTATAATTGTCGTTTTAAATGTCTTTTATTCTTCTGATTCAAAGCTGCATTTCCAGCATGGAGATCTGCTGTTTTTCTATGATCAGATGTTATTGGTACAAAATCACTAACAATGATTCTTACAATTATTAAAAAGAAAGTTCAAATTAATAATTTGTTAAACATTGCAATATTTTTTTAACATTGTACATGTATTAATAATGTTTAAAGTATTGCAAACTATTTAGAAACTTATTATTTTGAACTTTCATTTTTTAAGTTTCACAAAACACAGATGGAGATTTAAAATTCAATGTAAGAGATTTACCAAACAGCTTTATTACAGAAAGTAAATTAAATAAATAACAGCAAAAACAACTTACTGAATTGTTCATTTAAACTGACTTTAATTCATTGAAAATCTTTGATGATAAAATTAGAAATAGAGAGATTATTTAGAATGATGGAGTAACAGCCACCTTTATTTTAAGCAGAAAAAGTTATTCTCAGTTTATCTAAAACCAGTAAAGCTTGGCCATGAATTAAATTGACTTGAATCTCTTTAGTTGACAAATAAGTTCTATAGTGAACTACTGAATGCACCATTTTAAGTTCACAGCTGTCACAGTCAGACCAGGTAATCCAGCCTTCCTGATTCCTCATCTGGTCATCGTCCTGTTCGTCTTTGTTTCTGTTCCAAGACCCACCACTGCAACGAAAATAACCCACCACTGCAGGGGGCTAGCACTGTAAAACAGCATGGTTGTCTTGCACCCATTTGTTCAAGACTTGGAACTCTTGAAACTCATGGTGTATACATTGAACAGTTAGGAGATTGTGTGAAAGGAAGTGTCATCTGATAATCTAGGTGCTCATTCCATTTGCAGGATTACAGGAGTAATACATACATGCAATTCAGATTTCCTATCTGTTTTGCTGACAGATAATTTAGAATACTGCTGCATCATTGTTGTAAATGTTTGATATTTCTAAATGTAAAATAAAATATCTAACATTTCTGCACACTTCTGTACACATTTAAACATCCATATTTTTTTTCTTTAGGCTCATTACAGGTGCCAGCACAATGTTCATGTTAGATCAGGCACGGCTAGTCAACGACGGCTGTCAAAAAAAACATGCTGTGGTGCAAAAAATGGTTTGCACTTTATTAAAGACTGTAGACAAAAGGGGAGGATCAAGTAGGTGAGTTAGAAATGTCAAAGTTGGACTAATAAGTTTTCTTTTTTTTTAAGTATCTTTGTGTGATTTGTTTTTATTTTTCAGGAACAATAATCCCCATATTCCCACTTACTCAACCTCTGTGCGCTTGTACAATGTGCATTGAGGCACAAGGATGTAGGGGTCACTGTAGTTGCCACCACCGCAAGAGTTAACGCTGTTGAGATGCCACCATGTCAGAGCCTGAGCTGCCAGTTGCCACCAGAGCTATTGATGCCACATGAACCAGAGGTACTGTCAACAGAACCGCTCACAAAAGCCTCAACCACAGTCAGGCCCATTCCAGCAAAACTGCCAGAGCCTGTGGTGCTAGAGCTGGCAGATCTGCTGCTGACATAGCCAACACTTCCAGAGCAACTGATGCCACCAACTGAGCTCCAAGATTGGCCACCTCTGCTAAAGCCAACTAGCCTATCAGAGCCACTCTACCTATTTCTAAAGTAAGGACAATTTATGCTTTATAAATTCCTAATAAATGACAATTAAAGGCTCAGTGTCAAATGAACTGTACATCTTTGTAATCTTATCTAAAAAATAAAATTACTGTAAAGTTTAAACATTGCAGAATAACAGGAGTGTCAAAATAGGACATAAAATTGGATAAAAACAACAATATAATAATTTAACAATATATTATGAAACAACATTATAATGTTATTTAACGAAGTTTATTCGTTTATTTTAGTTTATTTTAGTTAAGATTTAGTTAAGATTGCAAAAAATTATTTTTCATTTGATGCAGATTTATTTATGTGTCTTTAAATGATTAGAAATGAATAAAGTCGTGTTTTTCCCCTGTTTAGAAGATATCTGAGCCTTTAATTGTCAGTTATAAGGGATTTATATAGCATAAATAGTCCTCACTTTAGATTAGGTCACAAAACTGGATGAAGTTAAATTACTAAAGCATTTATTAACATACAAATTAACTATTAGTATATGCCTGAATAATAAGATATATAAATTTAATTTGAATGGTTTATTAATCATTTACTTATGCATTCTGAATGATCTTTAAAAGCCACAAAGTACTCTCAAATAATTGGTTTGTAAATGATACAATACTTAAGTATTGAAAAAATTATTATTGACAAAGTATGAAAATACAATCATTAAGCACATTATTGATGTGCTTTTAAATCAAGAAAAGAGCATTTGTATCTGTAGTTACAAACTGCTTACTAACATCTGCTAATGTAGAGTTAATGCTTAACAAATAATGAATTAAATTAGCTAATGATTAATAAATAATTCATAGCATGTAGTTATTATAAAGTGTTACCAAAATGGGTATTATTTATTTATTTTTTATGGGAGGGCTCTAACAATGAATATTATTCCTGTCCAACTGATTATTCTCATTTTCTGGTCAGAAAAGTACATTAAAGGTAAAACAAAAGGTACTGTGAGAGGAATCAAATTATGATCAATTTTAACTAGTTTTTAGCATTAAATGAAAGCCATATTTGAAAGCCCAGCAGAACATATGTTGGTCCCATTTGCAGTTATTAAACATCTAAACTCTAACAGGTATAGTTCAATATACTTGTGCTTCAGTTGATTTTCATCTGATATGCAGATTCTGTGCAGTGTAGGGTAAGTCACTTTGAAAAAGGTATTCATTACTAACTATTACTAATTATCATTTAAAAATAAATACAATTTTATTTTAAATAACTTTTTTATTCAATTAAAAACTTAATTACTCAGTAAGTCATTTATTACTCAATATTATAAAAGAAAAATCCACGAATCTCAAAGCATAGACAATAGAAATAAATCTTTTAATTCTTTAAATTTGAGTCTAACGGGACCTTTCAGTTTTATTAAACATTATATATTTCAAATATTATCAAATTTGACACCATATTTCATACAGACCATTAAGCATGTGTAGTTGTTGGACAAATGTAACAACAAATTATACACATTCCTATCCCACTTCTCTGAATGATGCCTGATATTGTCAGAATCAATCATTCAATTTAACGTTATATTTGCTGTAGTCTACGGAGGAAGGTTTTGGCCGAACCAGACGGTGATGGAAGTGCAGAGGATGGATTGGATGACAGCCGAGTAGAACTGTACGAGCAGCTCCTGTGGCAGGTTAAACTTCTTCAGCTGACGAAGGAAGTACAGTCTCTGCTGGGCTTTCTTTACGATAGGGTCGATGTGAATGTCCCACTGCAGATCCTGAGACATGGTGATGATACTAGAATGTGATGATGAACATGGAAATGTCTGATCATCTTGAGTTGCTTGTTATATCAGTTCCAGTACTGACTGATCTAATGTATTGTAAAGTGTCCTATAGAATATATGAACTAACACAGAGATTTGTAAGTGCTGTATTCATATATAGACCCATAATCTTATTTATATACTTATTTTATAGCTCAAATACTCATTTGTTTTCTTAAAACTTTCTCGAAATCTTCCTTCAACACACCCGTGCTCAGAGAAGCTGCACAGATTTCTTCAGCTCCAGTGTTGTCTCGAGGACACGCCCACAGTCAGGAGAATCTCATGAATATTCATGTCAGCGCCATTTCAGGATATACCTGTAGATCACACAGGTGTGTTTTAGTTAAGTGAAAGAGTGAAAGAGATCAGATCGTGTTCCTGTACTTCTGCATGTGAGTTTAACACTTCTACATTACTCTTGTTTGTGGAGATGATGAAGGGTTTATTTGTGTATAAGCGTGTTTATAAGCGTGTTCATAGTCTGCTCCTGAAGCTCAAAGCCTCAAACCAAACACGGTCATTTTAACAATATAATGGGTTATTTTTATCTCTTGAAAGTGTTTGTACTCTTCTATATCAGGGTGACTCGATAAATTTACATCATTCAGCACAAATTAAACTTTAAACAGTCACGAAATCGAAAGTGAAAGCAGAGCTTACATAAACAGGAAGAATGCGGATGTATATATTTCAGCAGCGGCGGGTAAGACAGACGCTCCTGGTGGGAAACACTTTTCAAATTGTAGCCTTCTAAAAAGCAGGGTTTGACAATAAAGATAGCCCAGTATGCATATGTGATCTTAGAATCGAGAAGCAGCAGCAGGACTGATAAAAACAGCTGTCTTCACGCGAGCAAAAGAAAGATCACTCACGCGCACAGGTCATGTGATGCGAGCGGCTGTTTACAAAGCGTGCGCGCTCCCGTTTTCTTCCGCAAAGCGACCGTGCCTGGAAACTCACCTGGTGCGATTTGCTCTCTTTAAACTCGACTGGACAAAAGGTGATGCTTGTGAATCTGCAGACCTGCTGCTTTCAAGAGCTCCAGATTTAAAATAAATGTTTGGTTTACTTGTGATCTGGGACCTTTAGCCAGGACAATTAAAGAAAAGTTTTGTTAAATAAAAAGAGCATGTATACAGCTATATTTAGCTTATTTTGACACATTATTTAAAATTTATGGCTAAGAAATAATTATTTATTTTTGTTGTGGTCAGAGATAGGAGTGGGACTTTTCAGCCCTGGAGTTTCAAGCCTTAGACCGGCCCACCTCAGTTCACTACTGACTATATTAAAATCAGGTCATTTCCAGTTCAGTTTCTAATGACACGATCACGTCTTTTTCAAGGACACTGCTGCTTATAAGATTAAAGGGGAGCTGAATCTCCAACACTATTCTTTACAACAGCACAACGTCTTTTCCTGCAATATCTGAATATATATTCTGTGCTAAATTTTTTATAGATATCCAGTCCTTTATAACGGTGGTCACACAAAAAATAAAATATGTACACCTATATAAGTAACCCAAACAGTATTACATGTCTTAGCACTAAAAATGAAAATAAATGACTCAGGTGATGTTTGAACTCCGGTCAGCTGCGTCATAATGAAACGTGCTGACCACTGGACCACAATGGCTTAAGCATTTACTCTCCTTTTTAGATTTCTGATCAAGGTATGTCAGATTTATTTCAGTTTTTCTCCTTTGGTTTGGCTCATTTCCTAAAACAGGAATTACATTCTCAAAACAACATGGACAAACCTCCAAACCACTTGGCCATTGTTCACAACAGAGCTGAATTTCTCATTCATTTCATCAAATTGCAAATGTCTAAGTTCATCTTTGCACATGATTAAGTACAGATAGCCGACAGTTTCCAAGTGAATAGATCTAGTTGATCTAAACTGATTTGTAATTCTCAGTCTAATGGTCTTTCTCTCCAAAACGTGTCATCATTATTACACTGTATAAGTCATCACATGCACAATAGTCTGTTCAATTGTCCAAATCAGTCAAGACCATAACACCATGAACACCATACAGTAGGTGAATGCTCGGAGCATTTGATGACAGTTTATTACAGCTCTCTACTCTTTTTGCTCTGATATATGGAAGATGCTTTGTGTGTGGTTGATCATTACATTAATAAAGGAATGACCATTTCCCTGGCAGTATGAGTGCAATGTGTGACATCAAACCTTGGAGGCTACTCGTACCCTTATATCCTGTTTCTGTTTTCAGTTTTATACATTGTCGGCTGGACAAAAACAGTACAGTAAGCATTGTCAGTGAAGGACTGGGCTGAGACTGTGAGGTGGACATGAGGGATGTTTTAGTGGTGCTTTGCCATGATGACCGAACATCTGAACATTTTGACTTGCGGTGCTCACACAAAGCTGAAGGGATGAAGCGTTTTGGGGGCACTGACTGTTTAAATGAGAAGATCATGTAGTTTTGACACACGAGTGAAACGTTCGGGGAAAGATATGAGCTTTTGTAAGTGAGCTGTAGTGTTTTGCCAAATGACCTTAGAGTTTTGAGAATGTCATTTCTGTTTCAAGAAAAGAGTCAAACCAATGGAGAAACACTGTAATCTAGTGAACCAGCAGATCTTCATTGAGCAGGTGTAATATTCATTAATAATAATTATTCAAAGTCTTTCACTGAGGTGGCGCTGTTTGGGGTGGAATGATGTCACGTCATTAACCTGCAGGCTGCATTTTCCCCATGGGGCTGCGAGAAAATAAAGAAAAAGAGCAGAGCTGCAGCAAAATAATGAATAAAAAGAGTGAGGCTGTGCTCAAATAAATAAACAAATTAACAAAAAGTGTGACTGCTGAGAGTGCAAGCAGCTAGAGACACCGGCCCTCACGGCCAAAAAACATACCGGCCCACCGGGAATTCTCCCTATAAGCCAATCCGGGCCTGGTGCTACACTACAACCCATTTGCTCACACACATCAAGCAAGGTCATACACAACACAGAAAACAGTGAAATGCATGTGGACATCACACAAAATCTAGATCAAGTCATTTTAGCATGTTAAAGTCAGATTTATGCATATAAAATATATTATCCTACAACAAAATCATGGCTAGTGAACATGGTGAATGGCCAGTAATGTTGGAGATCTACTAGCTAAAGTGGCTGGTGATGAAAACAGTTAATGTCAAGCCCTGCGTGTGTGTATATATATATATATATATATATATATATATATATATATATATACATCAGGTCTGTTTCAGTGCGGTTTTGTTAGTGAAGTGAGCATTGATTGCTATAAAGTATGCTGTTCTTCCTCTCAGTATATTGTCATCTCCAGGTGATGGTCAGCGGCTGATTGTTTCCTCAAAGCTCTGCTAATGTCTGCATTGGTGTTTTAGCTGCAGTATGACAGAGGAGCGAGTAAAGGACTCTCTCTCAGAGAAACACAGGTATTGACTCTGTTTTTACACCATTATTTCAACACTTTCTCTGAAGAACAAAGACCGACAACAATGCACTTATTTGTGTTGCTATTGCCTGATCAAATGATGGACAAAGCTTCAGTTTACAGCTTCAGCAAATGTGTTTAGATCATTCTAGATAACAGACAGCTCCATCTGGTGACCTGATCAGACAGACCTTCAGTCAACTATTAGTGCTGAATTAAACTGAACAAATCTGTCTGATAAACTCTTGTAAAGGAGACTGAAGTTTGTCCTGCAGTTTGTTCCTCTGGTGTGTTTGTGTGTTCAGTGTGAGATCAGGATCATGTGTGTCCAGCTCTGTGTCTCTGAAGAGTGACTGCTCTAAAGAAGGTCATCCACCAAACTTCAGTGAGGAAACACCATCATCTGCACAAAGGTATGTTGTGTTGTACATTACTGCTCAATTATGGACTTTTAGGATTTGTTAAAACATTTTATTATATTTACACAACACTTTAAAGGCTCGATAGATAAGAAACACAAGAGCAGTGTTATATCATTTTCAGACTCTTTTGAATGTCTTCATCTATACTCCTGATAAGGACAAATATCTGACCATTACACATTTATCTGCTGTCTATGACTTTAGATAATGCATCTGAAAACACTCTGGTAGTGAAATATCCTCTTTGTCATATAAAGTTATTAGTAACACACGCCAGAGGATTGATGTTCAGCATCTATTCAATAAAAATCCCAAAGATAAGGTGAAGATCAGAGCAGACTTAGAATAATCCAAGGAACAAGATGGCAGACATGGCAAAACTATAATCCCCAGAACAGAGAGACAGAGATGCCTAATTTATTAATGCAATGTAGAAACGAGCGCAGATATGAGCGTAAACATCAATCCATGACCATGTTCATGTGTGATCAATGAAACATTCTCATACAGATGAGCTAATCATACAGAATGAAAGCTGTTGTCATTTCACTATCACACTCTTAACTGTCTGACATATACACATGTACACTATTATTATTTTCTGTGGCTCTTTTTAAAGTGTTAATGATTAATGTTCAATATTGGGTGTGTTAGCCTAATGAAAGTGATCTTACACCAAACTCCCCGTTAGCCACGTTTCCAGCTATTATTAGACCTGTTTCAGACCTGTTTAATATAGCCTGATATCAGGCCCGGATTAAGAATTCAGAGGCTCCTGGACACAATGGGCCCTATCATACTCTCGGTGCAATGTGGCGCATGGCGCGATGCAATACTTGTTTGCATGTTAAGGATATATATAGGATATAATAAGAATATATATAGGATATAAATATAAAGGATTAAAATATTACAAAACATATTCTCTGGCCTACATAAATATGAAAAATCACTGCCTTCATGCTTTCTTCATCTCAGGAGGCTTTTTCAGTTCATTCATAACAATTTGCTTTTGTATATTGTTATTATTATTACCAGTATTATTTATTATATCCATATTTATATTTTAGTTTAGTTTAGTTTGACTTTATTAATCCCCGGAGGGAAATTCACGTCACAGCAGAGCTCTCCATACTAAAAATAGATAAATAATTTACATACATATAAAAACAATAATAAGATTACATTTCATACTGCACACCTTGGTTCCAAAAACAACGAGTAAACACTTGTACATATCTAATATCTAATTGAAGTTCAGCACAATTCATCTGGTATGACTTTGGTTATACAATCTGATCACTGTTGGTAAAAAAAGACTTCCTGTATCTTTCTCTGTAGCACCGGGGTTGAATTAATCTTTTACTAAAAGAGCTTGCACACGCTTGGACTGTATCAAAAAGGGGATGGCTATCGTGGTTCATTATACTAACAAATTTGTCCAGCATTCGATCCTGTGCAATATTTGTTTTATTTAAAACAAGCTTAGATTTGCCCACCTGTCAGGTTTTAGACCAAATGGGGCACAGCATGTGTTTTAGGATATAACTTAGGTTTTTGAGCACACTTCGTTATTATTGATCATTTTTTCTTTTGCTGGAAATTAGAACTGAATTTAGAAATAGTTTTGAAACAAATCTTTGCGCTTAACAAACTGAATTAATTATTTATAGGCTAATTGATGTCTGTGTGTAAAGGTTTCCTTATGCATGAGAGCGAAAGTGAAAGTAGATCATTAATCTCTCATTCTCACGCAGTAGATGCTCTGTTTAACAGTTTTCTGTTAAAAAACTGTTAACTGTTTGCTTGTGAAATGCTCAGTTTTTCCACTTAGACTTACTTTACGTCCTGTAAATAGCAAATGCGCTTATGGCACGATGCAGCTGGCTCTTAAAGGGAATGGGAGATGAGACTCTGATTGGTTTATTCTCAAAACACACCTATAACTCATTAAGAAAATAAAGTCAACCTTTTTAGACCATGCATCACGGCGCAAAGTGGATTTTCCCGTTTGTAAATTAGCAAATATGGATTCTGACACGCCCTGAAAGCGTTTGCGCCCT